ACAGCAAGGGGACAGCAGGGGACAGCAATGGGGTCAGCAAGGGGTACAGCGGATCATCAAGATCATCCCCTACATGATGCGACCATAGCACGGAGGCGCAGGTGATTTCGACCCCCTCCTATATTGAAGAAAGTGGTGTCTCAATTTTGGACATACTTTTGAAAGTTGTGCTCCATCTGCGCATCGTTGCAAGGCCGCAGTTAATCATAAATTCTGTCCCTGTCTCTGTCTCTGTCTCTTGGTGGTATGGTTTAATTACAGAGGTCATCGCAATCTGCTACAAAATCATCCTCTCCATGATGCGACGATAAACGGACGGGGGACAGCGACTGGGGACAGCAGGGGACAGCAGAGCCTTACAATGAAACCGTGAACGCCCGAATACCCTTCAACCCTTACAGCGTGGTTGCACACTTTGAATCAGCAGATACATCAGTAAGTGCATGAATGTACAATGTTATTTCCGCTTCAACCCTGGAGTGTCTTTACACTAACCGGCTCTTGCTATCCATGCACTCGGCATGTCCTTTCCTCTAAGTTGGCATCCTTTCTTAATTACGTCCCAGACAGTCTTGCCGTACACTCTCTTTCGTTTCTTCGGACCAGTCGGCACGTCAAGAGCCCATCGATCTGACTTCCCTTTCCGTTTGTGTATGAAGGGTCTGTTTATCCCCAAGTCGTGCCAGAGAGGATCTTCGGCCTCCGGGCCATCGTCTGGCCACACCTACATTACAAAGTTACATACATTCTGGTCAGAGTAAAAGCCTTATAACGTTTAGAAACGGCAGTTGGCAAACAAAGTCACACAGCGTGCAGGCTGCAGGAGCAATTCTGCTACAGCAGATAACAAAGTGAGCAAACTGTGAATATCATACCAGGGTGAGTAGCTTCTGGCGCTTGCCAGGTCGATCGCCCGAATCTTCCGAGGACAGCCCCATGGGGGCCGTGGCAGCAGGCACTGAAGCTGGAGGGCTGCCTGCAGCAGATGGTGAGACTTCAAAAGATGGGGAACAAGACCGTGCAAATGCCAAGCACTATTTTCAAGCTCATGCAGCCTTACTTGCCGGAAAGGAGGTTAAAATTTGTCAGGAAAGGGAGGATGGAAACGAACCTGGAGAGCTCGGAGCTTGGTGAGTGGGAAGGACCAGGCAAGGGCTGGAAAGGGGATCATTATAGAGAACTGGTCCGGAACTCCGGCTGGCAGTGGGTTCGACAGCAGGGAACAGGACGGGAGCGTTTGGGGGAAGCCACGCAGAAGGGCCGGAGTCCGCAGGAGAGGGGGAAACAGGAGGGCTAACTCGAACGGCGGGGGTTGCGGGCGGAGCAGGGAGGGTGGATGTCGAGGGGCTGCTGTGGAAAAGGCTGAGGAGATCCGCTGCAGCCTGTGCAGTGTCCCTCGATCCCCTCCGCTTCTCCGCAAGCAGCTTCTCGAGCTCAGGTTCTCGTCCCTGGAACAGCTTGAAGACAGGTGGTGGCAGCAGCCCCAGAACCGGGAGCAGTCCCTGGGCTGCAGCACGTTCTGCCGCAGCCTCCGCACCGGCCGTATACACCCGTTCCGCCAGCTCCCCGGTTAAGCCCTTCGCCCCAACCGAAAGCTTGCCATCCGCAGACAGTTTGAGAACTCCTCCGAGGCCAGGCGCCTCCAGGCAATCCCTAAAGACCAGGTTTCCAGGCGGGGGTTCCGAGCTCTTCAGCTCCGCCAGCTCCCCATCGGACGCTCCGATGCCCTCCCGGCAACAGGATTCGCAAGGTGAAGGGGCCACGAGCTGAAGGGCTTTCCGGAGCCGCTCAAGCTCCGGGTAGACCAGGATTCCCAACTTTTCCTTGTCATCCAGAACGCCTTCCTCGAGGCACTTGAGGCACCCCACATACGAGCCCTCGACCTTGACAGCAGCAAGGCATGTGTCACCTCCGCAGATCAAGCACGGTGCTGGCAGCCCCACGGAGCTCAACCAGCTGCTGTATTTCGGACCCCTTTCTTTGGGAGGGTAGCGGTGGGCGGACTCGTCATCGGATGGGAATGACTTTTGGAGGCTGGTCTCGTGCAGTGTTTTGTTGATGTCCCCGAGGAGCTTCCAGAGGTAGTCCACGGCATGCGAGCAGACCCCAGCACGCTTCTGCTCGGATTCGAGGAAGTCGACCGCAAGCCTGAGTACGGGCACCTGGTCGCGGCCCACTTTGGGATTTTGCAATGTGACCTGGCGCAGGTAGTCAGCAGCTGTAAGATACCGGAAGAGGCTCCTAGGAACCGGGAAATTGACCGCGTAGGCTTTGTTGAACCCGGAGTTGCGCACCTGCATGTGCAACAGCACAGCATCAGCAACAGCAGCATTCACAGCACTGTCCAGCGGCGTCCTTTGCTTTCAGCAGCAGCATAAATAGCAAGCTCACACTTTATCCTCCTCAATATCGCCATGCAGCAGAGTCAACTGTTGAAAGCTGGTGACTAGTCTCAACCCTACTTCAGCGGCATTCACAGCACGGTCAAGCAGCACTTTTTGACCATTCTCGCAAAGAGTGAGTGCTATCAAGCAGTCAAGAGAGCTTGCCTGGTGGAACCCTGTTGTGACAACGAACCAGCCGGGTAATTGGGTCGCTGTGTAGTAGGTCACCCCAAGCAGATCCAGGAGGCGTGTTGGCAGGACCAGCTTCTTGTTGAAAAAGTCATTGAGCAGGGACATGCGCCTGAAGTAGCCCAAGACAGTAGCAGACCATAGTCCAGGAAGGATGAGCCACTGCTTAGCGTCCCCTTCAAACAGGTAGTTCAGGCTCTCAAGCTGGGCATCCTCAGTATGGAAGGCGGCAATGGTATTCCTGTAGCCAACATAGAACATTCCCACCGTGATCCCAATCAGAACGTACGCAAAGTGAAAGAGAAACCTGAGATTGTCAACAAAGAGCTGCCCTACGCTCTTGCCCGCTTTCTTGCCTGCTCCCGCAGTTTTGCCCTCTGAGTCTGATGCATACCATGTTGCCTGAGGCAAGTGACCTTCCCCTTGCTCTCCAATCTTCTGGTAAAATGTGAGGCCATCCTCCACTGCCTCAGCAAGCGACTCTGCACTATCCAGCCCCGTGTCATGCTGCTCTTGATAGTGCTTGAGGGACTCTTGTCGCACCTTGCCTTTTGTCAGGAATCTAAGCTCGCTGTGCTTGCTGTCAAGGGTCAATTTCTGGGCTTGCAAGTCGAGTTGCGTGCTAGGGTTTATACTTTCAAGCTTGCAGCCTGTGAATGTCAGCAGCCCGCCACCATAGGGTGCTACCAGAGGGACGACAACGTTATTGCAGAGCCTGTCAACCCCCCCTGCAAGCGCAACGGCAGCAGCACTGATCTCAATCCTTGGCACCTCTCCGCCCCAACCCATTGCGCCCAGATGCTTGCTACTTTTGACCCTTCAAGTAGCTTTGGCATTATTCTCAGCCTTGCTCGGTACCAACCGCGTCACTTTCGGGCTGAACCGGCAAGGTCCAATCGACGACTCCGGAGTAAACTGCGTATATACGCAGTTTGGGTCACAGCCGTCGATCTGCTTACTTTCACTGGTGACCTCTACACCAAACTCGGTGTTTCGCGCCGATCTCGTTGCCAGCACTTCCAACTGTGTTGAGCTAACGCCGGGCACAGTTCCCGCTTAAACGCGAAACAGGACAAACCGTACGCAATGGGGAGGAAGAGGGCGTATGACGTGCGCCTGTTGGTAGGGAATGAGGACTGGACAGGCACGGGGCCGCTTTGGTCCAGCCACACCGACCCTTACAGCTCAGTCGACATACGCTCTGATTCGACACGCAGCATTGCTGCAGAATGTAGGCAGCGGTTGCAGGAGCAGGGGGTCAATTTGGGTGTGAGCTGCGAGCTGATCGAGGCTGACCTTGCTGCGGCGCTTCCAACAGATGCAATCCTGCGGGCTTTTCGCAAATGGGGCAGCCCACTGCACCTGGTTCACAGCAGCGCGCACCCGCCCCGGGCATTCTGGTTACCGCCTCAGCTCAGATCACTGGCCACCAACGAGCGGGGACCCATCCCACGGCAGGCAGAGTCAGAGAGATGGTTGCAGCGCTTTGTTGTGGAGCAGGTTTACGAGGGGAAGGTCACAAAAGATGCGAGCAGATGCAGGGAGCTCGCTGCGGGGTTCGAGAGGCTCACGGGGGCTGTGAAGGGTCTGCAGGGGCTGCCAGTGCAAGAAGCCCGCGCGCATGCCTTGGAGAACTGCTTGAGTAGGCTCACAGAGTGCAGCCTCCGGGAAAGTGAGCTCGCAGAGAGGCTTGTCAGGCTATTGCGCGACATGGACCAGCGGCAGGAACGGCAGGCTGCTGCTGTAGCAAAGAGCAAGGAGCAGCTGCGAGTGGAGCGGGAGAAGAGGCAAGAACAGAGCAGAGCTGTGCAGCAGCTGAGGGCAGAGAAGCGGGATCTGGCAGAGGAGTTGAAGCGGCTGCGGGTCGGTGGGGGGCGCTTGGACCGGGCAAAGCGCGGGCGGATGCCGGAGAATAAGCGGCTGCAGGTCGGGCAGGAGTTTGTGTGGCCGAGCAAGAGCTTTGCGTCCAAGCTCGATGCTGCGATGCGGGAGCACATGCAGGAGGAGCGCGAGCTGTGCAGGCCGCGGAGGTTCAAGCTTGCCAAATCAGAGCACGTGGCGTACGTTGCTGAGGGAGACAAACGGAGGGCAGTGAGCCTGGGCCTGGGGCTGGTCGCACGCGAGCCCTTGCGAGTCAACATATCACCAATCGGAAACCACAGGGAAAACTCTGTACTGCTAATCTGTTATATTCTCTTCTCCAAAAAATCAATTACTATATTGCATCTTTTTCAGGTATGGCCTTATATACATACATATTGGCAACTGGAAACCAAATGGAAAACTCTGTACTACTAATCTGTTATAATTCCTTCCCTGGGGAAGAAAGAAAATATAACAGATTGTAGTACGAAAGTTTGGGATTCCCACAGGCTTGCTGATATGTATGTATGTAGGGTCCCTCCTGTAAAATACAAGGAAAAGAGAGCGGGATGGGCGACTCACCTGCTCGCTTTCACCCCATCAGGCCGTTCCCCATGACTTAAGCCCCCAGTGGATGTGCCGTGTGTCTGCACAAGTCTGAGGCCACTTCAACACCCAAGTAGCATCGTGCAGGGCATGGCCTTACATACATACATATTGGCAACTGACAACCAAAAGGAAAACTCTGTACTACTAATCTGTTATATTCTCTTCTCCAAAAAGTCAATTACTATATTGCATCTTTTGAGGGTATGGCCTTACATACATACATATCGCCAAAAGGAACCCAAAGGGAAAACTCTGTACTACTAATCTGTTATATTCTCTTCTCCAAAAAGTCGATTACTATATTGCATCTTGTTCAGGTATGGCCTTACATACATACATATCAGCAAATGGAAGTCAAAGGGGAAACTCTCTACTACTAATCTGTTATAATTCCTTCCCTGGAGAAGAAAGAAAATATAACAGATTGTAGTATGAGAGTCTTGGACAGCCCAGAAGCTTGCTGATATGTATGTATGTAAGGTCCCTCCTGTGGAAGACAACAAAAAGAGAGCGGGATGAGTGACTCACCTGCTCGCCCCCGCTCCTTCGGGCCGTTTCCCTTACCCTTAAGCCCCTGATGGCTGCCCGCTGCCCGCCCCCACTCCTTCGGGCTGGTTCCATTGGCCCTAAGCCCCTGAGAGATGCCCGCCGTCCTCCCCAGCCAGTCCACCGTGCTGATGCCGTCCCAGGCCCGGCCGTCCTAAGTACCGGCTCCTTGCAAAGTCCGGGTAAGATATGCAGAACCATGCATGAGGCAGACAGACATCTGCACATGATGTTGCGTGCTGTGCAAACAAAAGGTGGAGGTAATGGTGCGTGTCTTGTTACACCTCAAGCGGACACGTTGTTGCGGCGCTTGTCCAGTCCGTATCGATCCAAAGCTTGATTGTATGCCCTGGCTGCATCCTCTTCTTCCCCACCGAAACTTCTCGACGCTCTCGCGGTCGCACTCGCTGATGAGGGCCTCAGCGACAAGGTTCTGCTCTCGGTCTCGAAGGGGGATCTTGCAGACTGCCATTTGCTTTACGTGCCCTTTCTGTTGAGCTCGTTGCCCCTAAGCTTGGAACGGGAGGCATCTTCACTCGTCCTTCCCAGCTGTTTTATGTTTCACTCGTCCTTCCCAGCTGTTTTAAGTTCCTTAAGGCTATTCGAAGGAGTACTTAAGGGCAGTCCAGCGGTTTTCGGAACGGATCCCCCACGATCGTGCTGTTGTTCCATGGCGACAGATTAGCGATTCGCGGCACGACAGGTTCGCTCCGTAAACCATAATTCGAATTCCTGTTGGTCCCATTTATTGAGCTGAGGCCCACAAACTGCGCAGGACTTAAGAACGACTGCCCCTCGAGGCCGCGGGTGGGGGGCTTGAACTCACCGTACGAAAGCTGGGGCCTTTCTTCTGATGGCAGCAGCTTGCTGTCAACGGGGAGGATCGACATGGCACCCAGTGTGGAGTTGCTTGGCAGCTTGTCCGCAGGAATGTAATCTGTGAATCTCTCCCGTGTCTTGCCCGTGCAGCGCGCCAGGATTAGGACAAGCCCAATTGCCAGCGCAGCCTTGAGCATGAGGTCAGTCTCCATGCGTGATCTCCTATACCAAGCAAAAAGAAAAATTCAGGGTGCCATTGCAACCGCCCTAGGCATAATCTGCATAAACCCGCTCGCCATCAGTGCTTGGGAGAAATTCCACGGAAGGGCCTCCAGAGGGAGAGACAAACGCTTGCACGCCCTCATCAGAGCCAGTGAGTGGGACCTGGAAGGTTACCTCCTTGCGCGGGCTCGGGGTGGGCCTTTGGAAGAAGAGCAGGAAGATCACGATGGCAGCTCCAATGATGAGCGCCGCCTTCACGGTGTTCTCCATGGTTGTTGATATCGTTCTGCGAGGAAATTTTGTTTACTGATACTCGTCCTCAAACCCCTCCTGCCCAGTGAAGCCCTCTTCCTCTTGGTAGTATTCGTCGTACCGTTCTCTTCTCGTCGGACAGTGCACAAAGAACACGAGAAAGACGACAAAGGCTGCAAGTCCGAGTTTCACGGCAGTCTCCTTCTCCATGAGCATAGTAGTAAGTCCAGAGAAAATTATGCCACCTCATCGTCGTCCTCCTCAACCTCAAAGACGTTGACGCCCTTCTCGATGCGGTCCCCTTCGGCGTTGTCCTTCTGGGGCGCATCGGGCAGGACCCGCAGCTGGCTCAGCTTCCAGATGCAGACGGCGAGGCCATTGCGCTTGGCCACCTTCACCCCTGCCAGCTCTGCAATAAACTGCACCCGCACGTCCTCCAGGTCTGCAGCGTCCTTGCCCTCGGTGTTGAAGAGGCCCTCGTCGAAAAAGTCTTCGGTGCTGAGGCGGAAGGCGGGCATGGAGGCCTTCTTCGCCTTCTGCAGGGTCATGAGGGAGCTCTTGAGGAGGCGCTTTGCGCTCTCCCCCTCGGTCTCACGGTCGATGTTGCGCGAGAGGAACTCGACCACCTTGTGCTCGATGGCCTCGATCTTCCTCACAAACTCACGGCTCTGCTTCGAAGACGTCTCCCACAGGTCAAAGTCGACATACTTTTGCGTCTCACCATCCACAGTCAGGGGTGACCTGAGGGTACATGCGGCAGATTGCAGGTATATCGTCTTCTTCCTATCACCCTCGCGATACTTTACCTTGATCAGGTCCTTTGCAGTGCCTCTCGCATCAAAGGTCAAGGCATTCTCATCCAGATCATTCTTGTAGCGCAGGATGACATAGTTGCGCTCCCCAGAGGTGCTGGGGCTGGGGGCACTGGAGGCCTGAGTTGCAGTGGAGACAGCTGATGCCATGAGTCAAGCTTGATGTGAGCACCTAAAGAAAATCACGAGATTTAAACGCGCGAACGCGGAACGTCCAGTACTCAAGAGTCCATCCTAGGCTACACAACCGCTCAAGCCTCTTCCTCACTGCCACTCTCTACCCCTGCAGCGGTCCCAGCATAGCTCTCGAGCGGCTCTGGGGCCCTGGTCCTGGACGGAGGGACGATCTGGCAGACGTTGTCATCATAGTCCTTGTGCTCCGACTTGAAGATCATCGCCTGCTTGAGCCTGAGGGTGGGCCCGAAGCCCTGCGGGGTGACAAAGACGTACGCCACCTCCAGCACGCAGATCACCTCGTCCCCCTTCTCCAGCACGTCCATGCCCGTCCTCACGTTGCCGTCGGCGTCCTTCATGATGGCGGGCTGCCCGTCCGCCCCAAAGGCCTGGCATGCCCACTCCTTCTCCCTCCTGGCCTCGGTGGTGGGGAGGCCGTCCTCCCCAGTGACCGGGTACTCGACCTCCTTGTCCCTCTTGAGCAGCTTGAGGTTGAGCCTGGGCGCCCACCTGGGGTCCTTGGACGGCTTGACGATCGCGCTGTACTTCTCGCGGATGGTCTCCTCGCTCAGGCTCTTGCCGTTGAACCAGTCGGGGCTGTTGGCCACCGCCGTCTTGATGATGAACTCGTCCAGCTCCTGCATCTTGTCGTAAAAGGCCTTGAGGTCCAGGTCGTTCTGGATGTTGAGGAAGGGCAGCCCCAGCGTGTAGGAGGGGCCCTGGCCGTTGCTGTCCTCCCACTCCTTGATGCCCCACTGGGCAATCATCCTCGGCGTCTGGAACACCAGGCTGCGGCCGGTGGGAGGGGCGTTGATGTAGGCCTGAAGCATGTTGGCGCGCTTGGACATCTTCCTTGGGACGGTGACCAAGAGCGTGGAGGTGTTGATCTCGTCAAAGTTGGGCGCCATCGTGCTTGCTTGGTTGCTGTCTGAGGCTGAGAGGCTTTCCTCAAGTGTGCGAAGCGAAGCGCTTGGAGGCAGCGAACTTGGAATGAGCTTCTGTGCGGCCCGAATTTTGCTTTATAGTCCCAGTTGGCTGGCAGGGGCTGGCAGGAGGTTGCCAGGCACCGCCACCGTTGTGGCACCTGGTGCCGTCCCCGCCAGCGCACGCCACCCGCCTACCCCCTTCTCAGGGTCTTAGGGCCAGACCGCCGGTCTTTGCAAGCCAGAACTATCACCTTTGCCCTCTTTCTGAAGCCCGTGCGCCCGTCGCAAGTGTGGTGGCCCTTCTCCTTGGCCGAATCGGAGCAGGTGTGCGCCCTGTACGTCTCGTAGCGGCTCCTGACCCTCTCAAAGGACGGCACCCGCGTCTTGCCCAGGCGCTCGTTGACCAGGTTGTGGAGCGCGTACAGCCATCTGGAAAGTGAGTCTCTGTTTCGCATGGTTGCAAGCCTCAGGGGGGCGCGCCCCTTTTGTGAGACAAACTTGTTGTACGAGGCTCTGCAGTACTTGCATGGAAGGACGTGTCCGAGAGCCCGGAAGAACTGCAGGTAATGGAGCCTCTGCAGGGACGTGGGCTCTGTTGGATAGCCAAAGGTGATTGAGTGGAGTGCGACCCAAAGGGGGGGTCCAAACACCCTGGATTGCATCCCGTTGTCGCTGCCGAATCGGCGGCTGCCGAATCGTCCGTGACCTCTGCCCTTGGCCATCCTGCTCTTACCTCACCTTATTTTTGCTGTTTGCAGCTTGGGATGATGGCAGCATGTCTCTCATGGAGTCTGCGGTCGGTGTGACCTTTGGGAAGCGCCCGCTGTACGTGAGGAACCTGGTGCCAGGCCAACCCCTGCTGCTGGTCAGGGAACCGGACAACCCCCACGACCCAAACGCAATCGCAATCTACGACACCCTCGACAACCACCTGGGCTACCTTCCGAGTTGGCTCGCACGCACGCTCGCAGCGTTCTTGCCGCCGCAGGGGAGGCTTGCAGCCAGGGTGAAGAGCGTGGGGAGGAGTTCCATCTGGGGCCCTTACGGGTTCTCTGTGGTGTTTGACTTGCCAGATGGAACGAAAGGCGCAGGCAATAATCCGGCTCGGAAGCGTCCATACTCCAGGATCAGCACATGAGAAGGCGCTCAGCGAGGCAGCCAGGCCAGAGGGTGCGGCGACTCGCCTCGGAGGCCTCCAGCTGTATCCACATCAGGCGGAGGACGTCATCTGCATGGCTGCTGTTGAGAGGATGGGGCCCTGGCGCCCGTTCACTGCTGAGATGCTGACCAACGTGGGCATCCTGGCTGAGCCGGGGGGTTCTGGGAAGATGGTCACCATGATCGCTCACCTGGCGAGGGCGCCCCGCCCTGACCCAACGCACCCCTTTGTTGCTACCTACGACCTCGCCAAACGCGCCTCTGGGGGCCCAAGATCCAGATATGCGGGAGCAACACGGTGCGCTTGGAGGAGCCAGAGGAGTACGTGCCCCCCGTGTTCTTCCCCCTCACCGTCGTGGTGGCCTCAGCAGCAAACGTCTACTCCTGGACCGAGGCCTTGGTCACGCACGGGGGGCAGCGGGTGATCAAGGTTGCCTCACGTGCTGAGCTGAACAGCTTCGACGTCAAGCGGGACAACCTGCCTGGGAGCTGCGACGTGGTGGTGATCAGCAGGACCTTTGTCCGGCAGCTGGCGACCAGGCTCCGCTTCATGCGGGTGTCCAGGCTGATCCTCGACGACGCGCTGGACATGGGGGGAGGCCGCTTCGACATCCGGTGCTGCTTCCTGTGGCTCATCGATCACCGCGTCAGCGACTTTCTCAGCCACTTCAGCTCCTTGCCGTCGTGCGTGAGGAGCGCCTTGGCCGGGCTTAGCCTCCCCTCCATTGAGGACCCGTCGCCCATCATCATCTCGCACTCGCAGCAGGAGGTGGACGTCAGCCTCGGCCTCGAGCACCCCCTGCACTCCTTCTACCACATCTCCCGGGCGTACAGCTGCGAGGTTGCCCACCTGCCCCCCCTGAGCGCGGCAGACTGTGCGGAGCAGCTGGTCGTGCGTCACCACATCCCGATCTGGAAGAAGGAGGTAGCAGCAGACATGGTGGAGCCCGGGGTGCGCGAGCGGCTCGAGGCGCAGCTCGAGTCTGACGAGGGCTGTATGGTGTGCCTGGAAGCATACACGGGGGGCGGCACCTGCCTCTTGACGTGCTGCACCCGGCTGCTTTGCTGCACGTGCGTGTGGAAGATCGTCCACACAAGCGGCACCTGCCCAAACTGCAGGGGGGCTATGGAGCACAAGGGTGCAGCGGTGGTCATGATCAGCGACTGCCTGGACAACCCCCTCAACGTGACGCACTACTTTTGCTCTCAGATGGAGAGAAAGTTTGAAGCGCTCTCCTTCCTGCTGTCCCGGATCGGTCTCGGGGGCAGGGTTCTTATCTGGACCGGGTGCGCAGACCACTGGGACGAGCTCACAGGGATGGACTTCCAAGACTTGTTCGAGTATGAGCTCAACATGCAGCTTGTCACTTTCTCGGGCAGCGGCGTCCAGCAGAGGTCGAGGCTGATCGAGTATCAGGGCATTGGGGACACCGCAATCCCGGACCAGTTGATCCGACTCAGCACTGTCCTGGACCCCCACCAGACCGCCCGTGGCCTGAACCTGGACGCAACGACGGACCTCATCTTCTACTCCTCTCCAACACAGGAGCAGTATGATTACGTCATGTCTAGGGTTGTGAATGCAAGGACGCCAGGCATTAGGAGACGCAGTGGCCGCCGGCTGAAGGTTCACATGATGGCGGAGAACAAGGCATACTTGCCGGCCATACGAACATCGCAGGAGGGCATAGGCAGTGGTAGGGGGGTGGACCCAGGAGCATATGAGCTTGCGATAGCGCAGGATTTGGTAACATTCTGAGAACAATGTTGGCATGTACATCTGTTGAACATGCACGCAAGGTTGACTCTCTGCAACACACTTTGAAGCTATGTCCGCAACCGATGGCATGCATGTCGAGAGCAAGAGGGGCTA